GCGATTCAATATCGTACAATGCACATGATCAATCAGGTTCCAATTCTTATCCGGCTACCCTTCTGGAAAAAGAATATTATTGATCGCGGTTGTCGCGATGTATCCGAGTTTGTTGATCAGATCATTGCCGATCGTCGATGTGGCCGATCAGATAGTCTCTCTACAAACAATGATATTCTCGATCTTCTCCTTTCAGCTATTGATGCGCAAGGAGAACCATTCACTGATCAAGAGATTGAAGAACAAGCATTGACTTTCGTATTTGCCGGTCACGAAACAGCAGGTAATTTGATGGCATAGGTTATGTGTGTGCTGATAATGAACGAAGAAGTATTACGGGCATGTCGTGACGAAGTTGACAAGGTACTTCCTAATGGCCTTCAGCCTACATATGAACATATGAACGAGCTCGTTGTGTGCGAGGCTGTTTTACAAGAAACACTTCGTCTTTATCCATCAGTACTGTTTTTTGCGCGACAATGTATTCATGAGCACACTATCGGTAGCGAATGCACTCGTGCATTGCATATCCCAGTCGGTGCTACTCCGTTTATGAATATTTATCTTCTCCATAGACGAGCTGAATTTTGGCCTCGTCCACTTGAGTTTGACTATACTCGATGGATGCGTGATCCTGTGACTGGTCTCAAACGAAAATTGAGTCATCCATTTTGCTATTTACCTTTCGGTAAAGGATCACGCAACTGTATCGGCCAGATTTTCGCGTTACTCGAAGGAAAAGTGATGTTGGCAATGATCGTACAACGATGTAACTTCGAACTAGAACCTGGTCAGAAAATAACGCTCCACATTCGCATTACCATGCAAATGAAGTACGGACTACGAGCCAGAATCACTCAACGCTCATGAAACAGCTTTTATCAACCATTTCGTCTACTAAATTTTGTATCCATGATAAAGCTTTATAGTACAAATTTGAAAATGCTATAGACTATGCCTTAATGAAGAAAGTTCGAGCCTGATTTCTACTACTCAGATTGTCGAATCTGCAATAACTTGCTCGTAGTAGAATAGTTAAATAGCACTTTTCCTAGTTACTAATGTGTATTTCAGAGTTAAATGGCCATGGGTATTCTTTGAATAACTTTAGAACAAAAAGAAAGAAATTGCTTGGGTTTTCACGGCTGTTGAGAGCCCGTCGAGTCCACAAAACTTTTCGATTCGAACCCAGAACAAGAAATATGTGTGGTTTCATCATTTTTAATGTTAATACATTGTTCGAACGTGCATGTTGTAGAGAAATGTTTCCTCTTTCAGCTCATACATGTAGAAACATACAGCAATCCTTCGTGTCTGAAATTTTTTAATTACAAAGGTCACGATCCATTTTTCAAAGTAGTCTGAAAAGAAAGGTCTGATTTTCCATTACAACTTTTGCACTGACAAATAGTCTTTTTTAAAATTTAATTCAAATGACAAAATATGCATCGTTTTTGATAGCGATGATTCGGCTAAGGATCGAAATTAGTGTTTCCTAAGACAAGTTACAAGTACATAGGAAAATGAAAATCTGTTCTGTAAATAACGCAACCTTAGTAAAAGAAAGCGTTGAATGATTCTTGCCGTCACTTTCGGACTACGATCGAGTAAAATCAGTGAAATGGAACACTTCTGTTTCGTTGTAGAATCTCTTGTTGACTTTGATGCAACTCCTGTTGCTTCCATCGTCTCGTTTACATGACTCTTAAAAATAGAATACTATTTTTATCAGTTTAAATTTACCAGTTTCAATAAAAGGTAAGAGCTAATTTTCCAAATCATCGATAAGTTTTTCTATCGCTGAATGTGTGATGTAGAGTACCATCAGACATGTCAATATCCCTCATATTTTTCTTATAATTGATGATATTCTTAGGTTTCAAACTTGGTTTCTTGACGTCACCTACAATGAAGCTTGTTACAAATAATTCGTCTGAAAGTGATAGGTTATTACTCTTTTCGTATGTTTCCAATAATGAACTTTCAGCGATTTCTTTCAAATCGATCACGAAAATCTCTTTTTCACTACTTTCTTTCTTATCTTGAAACTTCACCAGAAGAAGCTCATCGCTTTACATAAAAGCAGAATCAGGCGCCTTCATTTTTTTTGTTGACAATTCTTTTGTAACTTCTGAATCGGTAGTGGAAATATTTTCATCAGTGTTTATGATAAATATACGTATTTCTTTTTAATCAGGAGATTTTAGCTGTTGTTATTCAATAATTGAGTATTCAATCTATATATTAAATGGCTTCGTCATCATCATCATCATCATCTTCATCTCTTAAAGTCCAATAGATAATATTGAAAAGCCAAAAGAAAATAGCTCATCAACTAAAAGAACGAAAGATGATATACACTTTGTTTCAATTGAAAATTATTGATATGCGCACATATGTCAATATGATAGGGCCTACTCAGCTTGAGGATATGAATGTAGGATATGGGTGTGAGTGTGAATGATTAGAAAATTGGAGTTCTCAGTAACACCTACATCCTCACAACACTCTACGATGAAGAACCAAAATTTCACAGAAAATATGCAGGATTATTTTCGAAACAATAATTTAAATAAAATATATTTTCATTGCTTGTCGTTGAAGCAGATCCTTTATAAGCATTACTGTTATCAGTTTCGTGGGTTTAGTCCGAACATAAACGATGATATCAGTCTTTCACTGTACCATTTTTGTTGTTATGCATGATTGTTCTTTTCTACAAAAACTTTCTACTAAAGAGGATAAAGCCCAAAACCTATTTTCTTTAAACTTAAATTAGCAAACTGATTATTTCAGAAGATGAAGAGCTATAAATATTTAAATCGAGGTCTACAATAAAGTATATCTGTGTCTGAACGTTTGGGGAAAGCTAGAGCATGGCTGTAACTATGGAAGTCGGCTAGAAAGTAGGTGTGACGATAGGGTGGATGTGGTTGTGATTGCAGGTATATTCCTGCGCACATCTACATTCGTGCCCACCACCACACCGATTTCCACTTCCACTTCCACCTACACCTTCACATCCATATCTATCCATACCTATACCTACTCACACCCACACCCAAAAAGGAATGATGATTTGCTTCTAGAATGTCTGCATATTTCATCGTTCTAATCTTACATATTTTTTCAGTTCTATAAAGAGGCAAGCAATTGCACAAAACTCACAAAAGAACACTTACAAGATAAAAGGGTAACACGAAGTGCACATATTTCGAAATAAACAAAAACAATTTCTAAACAAATGGTTCCATTACTGCAGACGTTATACATTGAGCTCATTTATCGAATCCTGGAGAATATGAATGAATTAACAATGCTTTTATCAAGTCGAAAGGTCTGTAAAAGACTCGATAACATCATAGAGGCATACTCTCGATACAAGGTAATTTTTTTTTTCAATGAAAAAGTCATATTCTTATTATCTACAAAGGATCTATCACTACTGAAATATATTATTTTGATTGATTTTTCTCGTTTTTTATTATACAAAAAATCGATATTGTACGATAGTATTCTGTATTTGACTGCATTTTATCAGTGAAAAGGACTTAGAGTAATGTTTTCATTCATGATTAAGAATTTTCTTAAACTTCATGGTGTCCTCGAGTGTGGGTGTGGGCGCAGCCCTGAATATGGGTATTTTCTCTAATATACACTCACACCCACATCCACACCCTTAAGGATAGAAATAATTAGTTAAGGACAGAAAAATAAGGGTTAGATATAGAACTAATCAGCAGTACTCGGTTAAGTGTGTTGAATGAATTGCTTTTTACCAGGCTAGAACCATTTTTGGAAGAAGAGAAAAGGTTCGAGATAGAACCAGATTATGCTTGAACCTTAAAAGATTCTGAAAATGGTACCAAAATCGAGAAACTTTCAAAGTTCAGTATCACATCATTTTTTTTCAAAGCACACTCATCACCCACACCCCACTACTGACCTTTTAGTGCTTAGGACTTTCGATGATTAATATCATTCAGGACATATATGATATACCAGTTGAATTCGATAGTTCAATGATTAGAACACTGATTTGGAGAAACAATAATTATATCAAGGATTTGATTCCCAAACGAAGAATATCATTTATTTTTCTGAATGATGTTAATCATTAAAAGTTAGAAGAAGTTCAAAGTCCAGTATTATATACTTACATATACTTCTGTTCATCCTTAAATAGAATGATGGAATGAATCACTAGCATATTCTAGTTTTAAATTCACTTGTGCTAAGACGACTCTGCCGATTTTCATAATTGTAAAGTCAAAACAAAATTTGATTAGATCGTCTTTACCGAATCATTCGATTTCACAACTCGCTTCCTCCCCCCCCCCCCCTCTCATTCTATATTTGCCACCGCATTTTTGTTGACTAAATACACTCATTTCATCTGGATCTGTTAATAAAAACTTTATTTTAAATCAAGTTTTAGTTTGAAAACATTTAATTTCGTCACAATGCTTAAAAAATATGACAATGAACTGTTTCCCACAACTGATACATGCACAATATAGTTCTGTTGAAATAAACCCTCAATTCTCAATAGATACTGTTTTCAATCCTTCTACGAGAAGTAATACACATTTGTTGTTCTTTCCAAATATCATATTTCTTCCATGTCATTATGTTACTGTGAATTCATATATAGAAATAAATAAAGGATCTTTGTTGCTTTTTTTGTACAATGAATTTCTACTCAACGGAATATTAGCAAGCTGCATCACTTTCAAATAGTAAAAACGTGAATGAATTCAAATTACTTCACTGAAATTAAAATTTTATTCTATTCTATCCATGACAGTTTGAACTACATATTCAAGGTTTATTCTGCCGAATAATTTCATAAACGTACTTCAATACATGTTATTGTATAAATGATCCTTTACTTTGATAAAAAAAAATAAAACATGGAAAGGTAATAGTGTTCAATAGTTCGTCATTTGTGTCAAATAGATGAGGTAATGGTGGTAGCTGAAATGGCTATGTAAATCACGTCAGGTAGCTGATTGTATTACTGCTGCAGCAAGTTGAAGTCCTCCCAAAGCCATATTTAATCCATTAGATCCAGATATTATTGGATTATACCATTGAGCAATCGCCAGCTGCTGTTGTCGTGTAACCGATGATGGTGCAAATAAATGAAAATAAACATTTCGGCTATTCTTGCCAGCTTGCAAATACGTACGAAATCTTAAACCTAATGTTGATGGTTGTTGACCAAAATTCTGTAAGTCGATACCTAGTAAATGGTATGTCTCAAATGAAATAAAATGTAATTCGTCAATGATGAAACCATTTCTATAAAAGACGATGTGACCATATTGACGATTTGCCAATCGTTCATAAGATTCACGTCGACAACAGAATGATGATAGAGGACCCGCGTCCGCCCATTGTCGATCAGGACCATGAATATAGTTTAAATAGCGAATCCATTCTTCACCGTCAAGTCTCCAAATAATGGCTCCGTCTCGACTTTCAGGAGAGTCCAAATCGCTCAACTCACAGAACATTTGACATCTCCAAATACACAAAAGAAGAGGGATAGCGACGCCAAAAGTCCCACCAAAGGATATACCAACTATAAACAGTGTTGTGCGGGTTTGTGGACATTCTCGAGCGGACTCATGGCATTGAGGTATTGCATATGAAACTCCAAATAATATTATACCAATTAATGCGACAATTCCCAAAGCAATGGAAATATATAATACTTGTTTACTTGAACGTTTTTTGTAGGCATCAATGAGTTCACTTATCAATTGAGAAGAAAGACTCATATTAGTACTTGGACTAAAGCGCGAATCAATATTCAATGAGATTGGTTCCTACAATAAAAGTCGAAACAATAACTCAATATTTATTTTTAAAGTCGAGTAAAAACGACCTAATGTTCATAAAAATACTAGAAGTGTTATTTTTTCTCAGAGATTAATTCATTTTCAACCAAAAAAAAAAAAGCTTTCAAATGTCTTCCACTGAGAACTTTTATTTTGGAGAAAATATCAAACATGAACTATTATCATAAAATAGCGAAGAAGTCCTCCTAGACTTACGTTTGATCGTCGAGTATTGGTTTTTGTGAAACCAACATTGGAGTTGGATTTTGTTTGTTCATTCATGAATCAGTTCGATTGTGAATAGATTATTTTAAATGTATTATTCAAAAAAAAAAGAAGTTTAAAATAAGGATTCAAAAAATCAAGCTGTATATAGTATTGGTTTTATCCAAAAACATTTATCCACGTTCATTTGTTGGGCAAAACTGTTTCCTTTTATCAAATAATCATATTGAATTGATAACATAAACTACATGCTTGAGTGGCAAGTCAGTGCTAATGTTGAAGCTCTTATTTTACTTCCACCTACGAGTTAAAAGAACCAAACTCCGCGATGAACTCATTACTGGGGAACTTTTAATGATCAAGAAGACACGAATACATCTTCAAATGATCATGGGAACGATTTGTTGGTGAAAATATGACGAACAAAAACCGTTCTTCCATTCTAGTTTTAGTAAAAGTGAGTATTCGCAAACACTTTTAAAAAACTACTAGAAGTACTGTTAACGCGTGTTGTCGCTTTTGCTGAATCGATTACCTACGACCAACCTATTCTTTACTTAAGCAAAACTGATATCTCTGGTTGATGATAATATTATACTCTTTGTGTTTTATGGCGTCCGTTTTTTCTATTCAGGACGCGCTTCGTAATCAGTATGATGATAGCAGTTTTTCAAAACAAACTTGTCTGTGCAGCCCTTTTGGTGCAGAAATGTGGAACTCACAATCTCTGACTGTTATGAATTTATCACAAATCATCTTAAGTTTCAAAACAATGTATTAGGGTGTGAGTCGGTGTGATTGTGGGTGTGCGTGTACGTGTACGTGTGACCTTTTCCTCGTAGTACCCACACTCAACCTACACCCACACTCAACCCACCCACACACTCACACCCCCCCATACCCCACACCCACCCATACCCCACACCCACCCATACCCCACATCCACACTCACCCACACCCACATCCTTTTTCCTATAGCACAAACATTCATTAAATAAAGGTTCCAGAGTCTTCTGAAATATTCATTCATTATTGTCAAAGTGAATTTAATCTAATATCTGTGATGACTTTCTTAGTGCAGAAAGAAGTTCTGCAGATTAACGAATCATGTTACGAAGCCGAAGGCGGCTAAAAACTTATATCAGAAAGTATTTATCAGCTGCTCAGATTTTTTCAAAAGTTTTGATGAGTAATTTTCAATAAAATCTTTATATTTTTTAAACGCAAGTCTCTATCGATCTTGACCTTGTGTTGATGAATAGGGAAGACACTAAGCTCTCTGTCCCTTAGATTTTATTTGACCAAGTATATTAATTCCAAAGTGAATTAAGGTTATCTTCAGAATTCATAATGTATTCATAGAGAAAAGCAATTGGATTTTATTGTCGATTCAATAAAAAAAAAGGGTAATGTCGACTGCAAGGTAAAAAACCGCATTCAGTGTAATATTGCTCTAACGCAATCATCGATCCCCAACTCTTCACCACCAATTCATTAATCATGGATTGAACTGTTGAAGTCAAGTAAAACTAACTTATCATCTTTGAAGTCATGACATTAAACGATCGATTTAGTGTTTTCGAGCATGAAATCAGCGTCTGAAAACATGTGATATTGAAAAAAAACAAAGTAGCGATGATTGAAGTAATGTATCAACAGGTGTCAATCCTGTCATAATATCACATACATTGAAGATATATATATATTCATTCGAAATCATTCCTATTGTATCAATACTATATTCATGGTTAATACCCGACGGTCTTTGGCAATGAAATGATTCAACATGCACACACCAGGATTGATTATCGTCTTGAAATGCGATGGCATTCAACATAGCCCGATAATCAGTATCTTCAGAATGGAGTAATGGCAGCAAGCAAGTTTTTAATCCATTGAATAGCTGATTAATTTGGGTAAGTTGGCCAATTAATTTGACCTGCATTCGAAATCAATTCGGTGCTGTTTTTCTAAAAATCATCAATATTTGTCTGAACTTGAAATTTAAGGTTCGACTGAAATAGTACATGATACCTAATCATGAATATTGAATCAAATAATCAGAGGCTCACAGGGACATTATCCTCAGATAATTCACAAAAACTGACTAGTCCTTGAAATACATAGCTGGCTGTTGCGTGATAATCGCTTGCAAGATAATTGGTTGAATTGCTTTCAAAATAAAATCTATCAATCCATTGATTCGATATAAAAACAGTTGAATACATTTGATGATACGTTGGACTACGTGAGATAAATGTTCCATAAAGTAAAGACATGTTTGAACAGGAACATAATGAATTCACCAAAGATTAAAATTGAGTTTGAGTGGGCTTGTTGATTGCTTTTCACTGGGTATAAACTTTTAAACCAATTGCAATAGCAAATACAGTCAAAATCAGAATGAGACTTATTAGGTAGACTCGCGTAGTGATCATATTAGTCTGTCGTTGGTGATTATCGGGCAGTAACACACAAGCAACCTCTCGTTATTACATGAGAAATGAAAGAAAAAACTAAAAATTTCAAGTTTATTCAACGATGGAATACTTTGTGCTCATCATTGAGAGTGTTTCATTAATTTGAGGTAAGAGTGGTCCAAACTACTATTATGAGTAGTTTTTCATTATTAGTCACTTGAAACAAACAACAAAAAGAGTATTGTAACAAGCCAGAAATTATAAGTAGCATTGGTATCTTGAGCAACAATTTTGAGAAGAATCGAATCTTTAGCTCTGACCTTCGTCTCGTTGTCCGGATGAAGAGTTCTAGGACATTGACAAGCGTTGGAACTATCCACGTCTCGCATCTAGGATTTTCTCAATATGATATATTCGATCTTTTTCAGCGTATTACCTTATGCCGTATATATTTTTTTTTCCAAACAGCCCATATCTGTATATATCCAGTGTTAGAAAAGTCTTTCAACAATTCATATTTACATTTATCGAAGATTAGACATAATATAAAATCTTGAACTTAATTTCAGAAGATGAGCAGTTCATCTCTCTACCAACTTATATTTACTTTAATTTACTCTTTTCGATCTCTCATATCATTTAGAAGATGACATGCAGAACGCAAAACAATGAAAATACAACCTAATTTTTGATGTTTTCTATGAAAATGACTCTTTCCTAAAATTATTAGCTTTCTTCCTAATGTTAAAGATATCAAAGATTTGCTTCAATGATTGGATCTATTCATACAACTTTCAAGTAAAAAATAGTTAGCGAGCAGAAAGTTAGAACATATGCAAAGCGTAACACTTTCTCTAGAGCCAGATGCAACTTCTAATCTTATTCCTCTGATTCTTTTCTAGAAGTCTCAATAATCTTAGATTAAATGTCATAGATTCATTTGTTAGTACTAAAAAAACAATACTGGCAATGATAAGGCGTGAAATTTTGGTATTACTTTTATGACAAAGTTGATTATCCTAAGATCTTTTAGGCCATTGTGATCCATACATAAACACTCGGAGCTATTACAATACCTTCGAATGAGTTTCTTCATCTTGCACAATATCGCACCCACACTTTCGAGCAAGCAACTTTATCAAGCAGAATGAAATCGATTTTTACAACGTGTAAAGGCGGATTAATATACACTATAAAAAAAGGTAGAACAATAAACTCTACAATAGAATTTATTGACCTTATAAACCCTTTAGGGTATTTTCGTAGTTTTCATCTTTATCGACCCTTGCAGGGTTATACAAATAATAAGTTGTTCAAGTGTTTTGGGAATAAATAGTAAGACCTTAAAGGATTAATGAAATTAACATAAACCAATTTGTAGGATATCTTATTCTATGCCTCTTTTTTATAGAGTGCATGTAGAGTCATCTAAGATGGCTGACAATTGTCACTCAGTACTGAAAGATTAATCATGACTTTCTTGCTATCTCATTTCGATACCGGCAGTGCTGAAAACGAAACCTGAAGCAAACAATATTCGACCATAGGCTTCAATTAAGTTGTCAATGTACTGTTTCTTATATTTATTACTAGATATATTATATCAAACAAACACTCATATACTATATATTAGGAGTAATAAAGTCGTTGCACTTCAATATTGAATGATTTGTTGTTGCAAAGCAAACGAAAAACACACAGTTTACTCCTACGAATAGAAATCAGTTTGTGACTTTTTTATAGCTTGAGCAAGAGAACTGCTTGTTGTGATAGCCCACGCCTGTCTAATAAATATACTATATTTAAATGCGAATCATTACCTGCTTTGATTGCTCATTCTTTCTTATATTATAAATACGTCGTCAGTATTATACGACAGTCATCCAACACAGGTACATTTTGTCTCTTTATTATATTCATCAAAATCAGTACATTTTATTCTGAAAAGAAATACTTACTCTTATCATAGTGCCTCATAATGCTGTTTGAAGATTATTTCTCGGCTCATATTACACCTGAATGGAGTTCACAATATATCGAATATTTTAATATGAAAGAAATGTTAGATCAGTTCGTTGCTGATGCACCGATAGTCAAGCAAGATACTGATAATACACTTCGACAGCAATTTTTCCTTCGTGTTGATGATTGCTTTTTTCAAGTGAGATTAATAAAGATGTTTCGCTTCAATTCTATGGGTTCATTCTTCTTAATAGTATTGTGAATCGGAAGTAACAAAAATTAACAATTTCTTTGCTGAAAAGCTTGCGGAGTAAGTATTTTCGAATGAATTGTTCTCGATACACTTTTTTAGCTTATGCCTCTTGTGTTGGACTTGGAACAGTTACTTTATAGATGTATTTAGTTCGAAAAAAACAAAAGAATCATCAATTTCAAAGAGGTTTAAAATATGAAAGTCAACATTTTTCTTTGTTTGCTACAAAAGAATAAGCTGAAAGAAACTGCAGAATGTACCCACTGTTGAAAGACTTCCAATTTTTTTAAAATTTTGTAGTAATTTCTTTGATTATGAAAGTGTATTCAAGTCCCTTAATAAAGTACTTTTCACATGGAAGCGTGTATTTAGATCAACTTCTCTCAACAACTTTTGAAAACTATTTGGATTTCGACAATAGCTTTTGAAATAGTACGTAATACAATTGTATTTTGGACACTCTACAGTGCCAGATAAAAGTTAGTTGTCTTCGACTAAATTTCATTGATGAGAAAGTACTCATGCATGTTACCCAATGAATACACAAACGAATGTATGTTAAATCTAATGTTCTGGATGTTTCATTCATTTTTCAGTTTATCTATTCCAATTCGTGCTTAATATATTTTCTCTCGGTTACTTTTTCTGTTAGATCGTACGCCATAGACATTCACTTTGAAGAAATATTTTCCAGCGAAAAACAGTATAGACGAGGATGGAGGAAGAGATCAAGAGTTATACAGTATCGAAGGTTTTTCTGTACTTGAATTTTTCATATAACCGAAATTATGAGAAGAATCTTGCTACTTAACGCAGAAACTGTTTGGAGTGCTATTCAATCCATACGTTGAACCAAACTAGGCTAAGATTGACTGTTTGACTTTCTCGAAAATCATCAACTATAGAAAATTAGTTTAATGAGCAATTTCTTTTTTATTAAGATTCAATTTTGAGGTTATTTATTAGAATTTTTCATAGGGTCATTAGAAAAAGTACATTGAATAACATATTTGACAAAAAAATCTTCACTGGTGTATCGTTAATCAGAACGGCGATGAAATACAAAACAAAATTTTTGAAAAATAATCATGACTCAATGCTGATTTTTAAGCTAATAATATCAATTTCCAATTCTTTGAGACGCTTCGTCCTTAATTTGACACATTTCCTTTGATACAAATTGCAAGAATATATATTTCTTGCTTCTAGATCATCGAGACGTTTTGACACGCTCAAATATGAACTTGAGTACTTTCAATCAACTCGTACGTATTTTAATCATCACAAGACATCCCCCATCGTCGATCAAGGCACGAATACGGACAGGAACGACAATACGATTACAACTCCTAGGAGACATATCAATCATCCTGATAGTTCAAATGGATCGTTATGGCACATTCAACCTAAGCAACTAATCAAAAAAACGCAAAATATGCACTGTAGAAGCATAAAACATGTTAAAACGGCCTTTAGTGAATTATATTTGTTGCTCGTTCTGTTACGAAATTATCAGGTGCTCAATTCCGCTGCCTTCCGTAAAATATTAAAATTCTATGATAACTTATTTCAAACGACTCGTGGAGAAGAATGGCGGTAGGATAAATTGATTTTCTTTCCACTTCGTGTTCAACAATTGAAAAGAACACCTCAATGAAAGTTTTCCTTGACGGCTTTATTTCTAGAAATCAATAGCAGAATCGCGTAGGACTTTTCAAACAAAAAATTTCAAATGTTCTCGAGTGTTTTCAATAAATTCTCCATCAAAATGAAGCCATCATGATATGAAATACGACAAAAGTATCTCTTTATAAATTAGAACGATACCCAGCAAAACAAAAATAGTATCAATTAATATTGACATGAGTGTATTTAGAGAAAATTCCTTAGGAGGCAATCCTTTGAAATTTTTTTATGTCTGTATTTAGTTTTGACTTTGGCTATCTTGAAAAACCTTGGGACACAATACTGATGGAAAGAGTCACTTTCGTTGAAATAGATAGAATTATTTATCATCTTTATATATGACAAAATTTACAGATTCTATTTTTGGATGATTTATAAAAAGTAGTTCTATTTCTTCTTTTGTGTGTCAGAAAACAAATCATAAGTTTAGTATATTTTCCAATAGTATATTGCACATTGAATCAACTCAATTTTATACATCAAACATGGTTGCTAAACTTATTCAAAATGTGGAAACAATATATGCTGATTCACTTGAATCGGGTGATCGAGAACGCGCAATGAAACGCCTCCGTGTTCCACCACTCGAACAGAAGGAATCGTCAATGGCGACATTTCGCATTGGATTATTTGTCGGTAGGATGCTCCACTTGTTTTACGCTGTGTTTTGTGTATAATGAAATGTCTAGGAATGTTTTGTCTTGTATTGCCAGCGGTGTTCGCATTCGGATTTCTTTTCAAAGAAAGTCAATTGGGAAAACCATTACCTTGGCGTGAAGCATTACTTCTCTATCGTTCTCCTTGTCTGATTATCATCGAAATTATTCTAGTTGGCATCAATATGTATGGTTGGTCATCGTCCGGTGTTAATCATGTACTTATATTCGAAATCGATCCACGTAATCATATAACTTACCAGCAATTACTCGAAATAGGAACATGCTTTTTGGTTCTTTGGTTCCTTAGTTTTATTGGATTTATTGTCTCGTCTTATCTTGACTTTTATCCATTCATACAGCCGCTTATCTTTGCTGCACTGATCATTCTCTTTCTTATTAATCCGGCACCAATACTCTATCGTCAAAGTCGTTTCTGGTTTTTACAAAAGTTGGCAAAAGTTTTTGCGGCACCGTTTTATCAAGTTGGTTTTGCCGATTTTTGGCTTGGCGAACAGCTATCATCACTCGAACTCATTTTTTTCGATCTTGAATTCTTTTTTTGTTTTTACGCTTCTGATCGTAGTTGGTGGTCATCAAATTTAACAACATCATCATCACGTCAAGGCGTGTTTTGTACTAGTTGGACAAAGATACTTCTACAAACATGTCTACTTATACTACCATCCTGGTTTCGTTTTGCACAAAATCTACGACGATATCGTGATACGAATCGCGTAACGCTACATCTTGTCAATGCAGGCAAATCTGCAACTGGCTTCTTTGTTGTCATAACCAATTCACTTCGACGTGCAACTACTGAAACATATTCTAAGAAACCAATGTCGAATCCATTTCTTTATTTATGGATTATTGCATCAATTGTCGGCGCCACATACAAACTTTTGTGGGATCTCAAAATGGATTGGGGTTTCTTTGAAAAAAATGCTGGCGAAAATAAATATTTACGTGATCATATTGTCTATTCATCGAAAGTTTACTATTATGCTGCTATTATTGAAAACATTATTTTTCGATACATTTGGGTAATTAATATATTTGTGCATTTTCATACACAATCAGCTGAATATTCTGATGTAATTGGTTTTGCCTTCGGTATTATTGAGATATTTCGAAGATTTATTTGGAATTTTTTTCGATTAGAAAACGAACATTTGAATAATTGTGATGAATTTCGTGCTGTTCGTGATATTTCAATAGTACCAATATCAACTGATATCGATTTTGCTCTGATCGATTTTAAAATGAGCAAAGAACCAGGTATTCGAAATCGAACAAGAACAGCAACAAATGGAATTATCTCTGACGAAGACAATACTACGATCAGCAGCAGAATAAGTACGGCAGCAAACGAACAAGAGAATAATACAATAGTATTGGACTTGGATCAGATATCAACACCCGACATTGTGACAGTACAACAAGTGGATGAGTCTGTTATACCAAGCGCCTTGTCTGTGAGCTTCAGTTCGCTGTCCTCACGAAATGTTTTTAGTTCACCATATTCAAGTTTTCGAAGCAATAAGATGACTGAATTGCTAACATATTCACAATCTACATAAAACAACTTGAAGATTATCGTATTCTTGTCATTTATTACTGTTATTCATTCCATTTGTTTATTTCTTTGTTCGTTTTCTATGATCAAATCATTATGTATTTACTACTGCTTTGCCGCTACTTGTGAGAAAAGGATATGTATATAGAAACGTTTACTTTTGTCAGTCTTTAAACTCTATACATTGTACTTGTTATGGATGAATATCATAGCATGCATCTTGTAGATCTCAAATCGAGTTCTGTAGTTTATCTCTCGCATTGTTTAACAAACTTTCAGTTCTAGTCTCATCAAAGAGGAAAATTATTAAGCAAAGAAATTCTCAAGTTAATGCAGAACTGCAAGTAAAAAAGAAACGTGGCTGTTAGGAATATGAGATTGAATATGACATAATGCAACTTTTATCAACAACTTGAAGAAGATTCAAAGTTTCATTCGGTAGGTTGATATTCTGACGAATTTTCTTTTGACCTAAAAAAGTCGCGTATCTATCAATTTTGCCCACAGAAGTCGAAGAGAATCACACTGACCAACGTCGCTCCGTTGCTAAAAATAAGAGCGTTCTTCAGTCAATACAAAATGATTTAATCGACTCGGTAAAAGAACATGGAACATACAAAATTAACACGCGTTTGTTATTTTTCATCACTTGGGAAGAAGTGTTCAAAATGAAGACAAATTTTTGATTAGATCCCTCTGATCTTCCTTGGAAACCATTCCACTATTTGATTGAAAAAATTTGAAATCTTCAAGGCTTTGGCTGACTTTGATGATATGTTTCTTTTTTTTTTCGTGCAAGGAATGACGCCATTATTCAAAAAGAAGGGCTTTGCAACGTTTTATCTGTCAGTGTAATCAAAATTTAATGAGAAATGATCAAGAGTCGAACGTTTTCGAAACGTAATGTCAAATTCAATTGAGACACTTGGACTAAATGAACAGACAGGCGACATATAAAACATCACGAGACGAAATGCAAAATTTTTCTCATTCATTAATTATACTGTATCCGAATCTTCCTTTTTGATAGATCTCGATGTTCTCAAAGGCTCGTCTTCTTGTTGCTGGTCAACTTTTCAGCAGGATGAAATCGGTTTTCGTGGTCAATCAGAATAGTTCATTTAGTTTCTTTTGTTTGAATGAGGCTATGTTATAGAGTTCGATTTGTCGACTGAATAATAAATCGAATATGCAAATATCAAATTAAATACCTGGTATAACGAAACGTTTGATGCAATAAGAGAACATTAAAAATACTTATTTTCTTTTGTGTTTAACAACGAGCTTAATTTTCTTTTAGTATCATTCTGTGCAAACACAATCACACACCAGAATGATTATTGTTTGTACCCACATGACGTCGTTATAATCTCTTCGATTTACTACATCGTTAAAAACACACTAAAAAAAACCCTAGATTCGTTTTCTCCAGTTAATGTCAACACCTTTTCATTTATTTTTGTTACTATTTTGAACGGCTATACTCGGTTCTACATGTCACAAGGTAGAAGAAAATGCTTAATCCCCAGAAAATAACAATTTTGTCTCATATATATCATAGTGCAGGACAATAATAATGTGTTCGATAAATACAGAAAAAAAACACGGTAGATCAGTGTAACGTCAATATCGAGATGCATATGTCAATCGCCACTCTTATGTGTTTGATAGTCCTTTCAGGCCCTACATTAGCTCAGTTACCAATTCCATCACGTCCAAGCGGCTTTGGAATAAGCGGGCCTGTTGATGCAAATGTTGTTATCGAAATGTTTCTTGATTTACTCTGTCCGGATAGTCGAGCCGCATGGCCCACTGCTCTTCAACTCATTGAAAAATATGATACACGAATACATTTCCGAATTCATGTGTTTCCACTTCCTTATTTCACAAATGCATTTTATGCCACCCAAGGTATACAAGCCATTGCAAATCTAACCAATCACAACCTTTCTGCAATCTTTCATTATGCTAATTCTATGTTCAATAACCAAGAAAAGTGGTATAATCGAGCGACTCCAAACATGACACCCATCCAAGTGATCGACTCGCTTGCATCGTTCGCCAGCACGACTGGATTGGTGACGAAAAATGATTTTCTTGATGGATTAAATAGCAACAATATCAATAGGAAAGCTCGTATAGCGTGGAAATATGGATGTTCAAGGGGTGAGCATGTTGCTAGGAATAAATAACTAGAAGTCCTGAATTTATTTGATTTTTCAACATGTTTAGGAGTTGCTGGGACGCCTACTTTTCTGATCAATGGTGTGATCACAAGTAACGCTTCATCTTGGTCATTTTCAGACTGGCAATCAACCATTGATCCGATGCTATAGCATGATAACTGACATTTACTTTCGCTTTTCATTTGAAATTTAGAGAAAAAAGTATTGATTTTCAATAAATTCATATTATAGTGAGCTTTCAAATATAACACTAGTAGTGATGAAAAAACAGCATTACTATTGAAAATAGCAAAACTTAATCAGAAGCAAACTAAGACAATCAATATGAAACTGTACATGAAGCTCACAACAAGATATAGTGATTTACATGGACGATCCTATATCGAAATAGTTGGCAGGTTAGGATTCTTTAGAAAAAACGATCAATCGGTATCAAGTAGCGTTTCTTTATAGTAGGATTGAGGTGTGTTTCATCTCAAAGAAACAAAATTGACTAGAAATTGTTGATTTATTCACTAACATAGGCACGGCAAAAGTGAAAAGGAAAATTGAAACAGATCATTGCAGAATCTTGGTGACTAATCACGCATTACAGTCGAATTATGGATGATCATCAATAGAATTGAATATATTCGATACTTAAATCTGACTTGAAACAAAAAAAAAGTATTGTTGCATACGATAAGCAGAGCTTAAAGGTGATATATTTACTTTTTATGTACTTTTAATATCAAGTAATTTTCACAATTGTTTCGTACATTGTATCAGATGTTTTATAGATAGATTAATAGAGATTGTGCTTAGTAAGAATTTAGATCAAAAAATCATTTCTTCACGAAGATTGTAAATATAGCTACGAATTAAAGATCGAAAAATAGCTTTCCGAGTTAAGTTAACATTGAAATAATTACTGTGACTGGCTTCAATATATAGATTGAAAACCCTCTTAGGAAATCAGCAAATATGGAAAATGATGATAGTTTTTATATCAAACTATAATATTATTGCCCTTTTCAAAATACATGAGTTTCTAAGGTTATAAAAAAGTTATTTTAGATTTCTTCATGAGAATGTTGCTCATTCAATAGAATAAATTAGGCGCTTGATTGTTCGCAGAAAGCTTCATCTTTTAACTATGTATCAGCCTCTTCTATAACAAACCTTCCCGCTAAGAGAACATTTCTTGATTTTCAACTTAAATAAGGACACAATGTTCAATTGGCAGTTTTACAAAACTGAAAAACCTTTACTAAACTTGGTTCAAACTAGATTTTTTTTGGATAAATTCTTAATTGCTGGAAGAAATCTCCTGATAACAACATATCTAAAATTGATAACGATAATCAAATTCAAGGTTCTAGCGAAATATGAAAGAAAAATAGAATTCAAATGTTTTTGATTCCGTTATCATGAAAACGACGGTCGTCTCATTACAATCGTTTCTGGCCACTTAGTCAATTGTCTGATCAAAAACGAACGTTAGCTACTGAATTTCTTTGTTATTTATAGAAATTCATGATCTTCATCATACATTTAGTTGTACAACAGTAGCAAATCAAGATTGTAGAATCTTCACATGCAATCTAATAGCAAGCCAATGAAAAGGCAATAATTACTGTCGAAATGAACGTTAAAATGCTTGATATGACCGTTAAAAAGAAGCAGTAATTATTTTTATTATGATCTATAAAATTTGCACACGCGACGACCAAAAAAAAGGATAGCAGCGATTGTAAGAAAAAGCAAGTGAAACATTTTGATCATAATTGATAAACTTGTTTTCCATCATTTTTCGAGAAATATTGTTATAACGATGTCATAGAAAAGGAAACCGATAACTAGCAAAGACAAGACTATAGTAGCAATACTCAAATTTTCCCAGTCCTTTATCAAACTATACCTTTTCCAATTAGGTCAATCATTATAATTATAGTAAATAGAAGTGTTATAGAAGCAAAACTGATAAATTGCTAGTATTATGGATATAATGACCCATCTTCCTAGGAAGAATTATCTTCGGAAGTAGTAAATAATTCTAGAAATTCATCAACGATAATCAATGGCGTTTTCTTCTGTGAATTATTTACCTAGAATACAAATTTTTGCTTGTTAGACAGTAAAGGTCAAATAAAAAGTACACAGCGATAAAATAATAAATTCGTTTTAGTACTTACATTAAATAACTATGGCCACTTGTAAAGAATCTCAAGCAGAGATAAACGATAATAAATAGAGATCGTAAATAGGCTTTGTTTTCGAGTATTTACAAATGAGAATATATAGGATAGAGCTTTTTGTAGACAAGCCATGAAAAAAAAATGTGAACTCAACAATGAAGCTGTCATCTCGAAGACACTCATAACTCACATCCTAATTTTTTATCATTAGTACACTGGAGTTTTAACGATTACGAAGTGTACAAAATTATACTAAAAACATACGAACAAATGGATAATACTATGTGTCCAAAGTCCATTGGAATTGATCTTGGGTGAACAATGTTTCATTTTGTAGATACAATCTCAGATGTTGAATGAAGCAACCTTAATATTTGTAATATCAATAATATTGCTGTTGTCATTGAAGGACGTCATATTGCCTGAAAATATTACTACCACATTAATACGACTGTGTATTATGTAATTTTAATTGTTGATGTTGCGTGTATTAGTTGTTCTTTTTTCTCCGATCTAACTGTTGATCCTATATGATCAAAGCGATACCTATTTGACTAATCTATTTGACTTTTACTTTAATACGATCAAAAATGCTTTTTAAAATAATTTATTTTCTTAAATTTGATTATGATGAAGCATTG